CTCGAGGCCCCCACTTCCGCCTTTTAGAACATTGTGGAACCTTGGTATCGTTGCAATCAGGAAAAAAATTGAGAAAGCAAATTCGAAAAAATTATAGAATTATTAGAAATTGGCAAAGGTAAGGGAATTAGAAATGTTAGTTCTATTTTCTTATTAACACGAATCGTAATAATGAGAAATCGGAAATCAATCAAAAACTAGTGTCCCAATTGCCACAAAGTGTTCACCTAAAAACTTCGTTGGCAGTAGAAAATTATCATTATTCGCCATCCCTTTTATAACAAATTTGTAAACTAGCGCATAGGATTTGGAATAAACTCAGAGAAAAAGATAACGCGTCCCTGAATTCCCTTTCCTGCTTGTTTTTGAGATTTTGTCAAAAATTCAATTTGAGTGACTTGTCAAGAATTGGTGGTGACAAAAACACAAGTCTCTCAACCATTGTCAGAAGCATGCCCGCATATTCCTCAAAAGACACTTGCCCTTCAAAAATCTTAATTAATTTGAGACCATGACGGTGGTTGAACGAATATTTTAGTTAGTACCCCAAAGATTGATCAATTTCCATACTCTTCGTTTTCAGCAGATTGATATTGGTAAAAAGGTTGGTTGCTAGATGTGGATTTGTTTTGAGAGTTTACTCCCCTGGCTAATTGCTGAAAGCTTCTGACCTTAACGATCGTGTTTACTCGGACACGTTCAACTGTCTGAAAGCTCATGTCGAAGCCAAACATCCTCGCAAAATGAATTAAATTCTGTTCGACTATGACAACACACGATGTTGAGTCATAGTTCGCTAAGCAGCATTGCCTTCGTTAATAAAACATCACACTACTACTACGCTTCACAAAAATGTATAGCGGAGAACGATTGATGCTCTTTCCCCTAAAAAATATATGGAAAAAAAACAAAATAAGAAAATATCTATTCCAGATACCCGCCGCTTTACAGTTCCCGAAAATATGCTGCCTCCAGCGATTTTCATAGTCGGGGCTTTTTAAAAAGGAGCTCAGCGTTATGGAATGCTTGAAACATCCAAAACATAAGCAATGCGACCAGATGTTAATGGGAGGCTTAAAGGATAAGCCGTGAATGCGGCTATGCTCTACTACTGCTAAGAAGAAATAGAATCTTTGGGAACAGCACTGTTTTCCAGCCTCACATCACTTTTCTACTACATTTGCATTTATTGTTGCAAAAAATTTGTTTGCACCAGCAAAATGTGAAACAGTAAGTAAGCAGCAGTAAAATGAAGCAAAGATCTTAATAAATCTCTGTTATAGGAAGCAATGCCATGGCATAGAAGAAAGTGCCGACCCAAAGTAAGAGTATTTTGTTTTATGCGGCTAATGTACAGCATTTTGTGAGTAAGAATTTGGCCGTGATACGTTAAAATCAGGATTATGTGCGTATGCGGAGCGATCAGCTTCGCCGCGCGGTGTTCGAGAGCAAATTAATTAGGGTAACGTCTGTGCGCGTAATATTCACGTATTGCGGCCACCACCTTCTAGAATGAGAAATATTCTGCTGAACTGGTCTTTTCGGAGTATACGATTCGCTTCAAGAACAACGTTATCTTCCCATAAGAAGAAGCTAGGTTTGCAAGAAGAATTTGATCAAATACAATGAATTTGCAAAAAAAAACATAAAAATTCTCACCATATCTTCTTAGATTCGGCTGAGTTCTCCGTTCGAAGTTTTTGCACGAGAATAATAACAATTCCCAGAAGAAATATGAAATTCATCTGAACGATCACTGTGAGACTTCGACATGAAAGTGCACATTTAAGCCCCGATTTTTTTAGGACAAGCCAATTCCCTCAAGTGGCAAAGAAAAACCAATCAGTGCGAAATTACTAATGCCAATCATCATTCACAGAACTCATAAATCGTAATGTAATTAGCCTCGTTATGTTCTAAAATGATGGCTGTGCTCAACATGCCATCTACAGTACGCCTACTACTTCCTGCAAGTAAGCTTTAGATGGAAAAAAAACCTACAATCCATGCAAAACCCATGGTCCCGGCAAGAATCCATAAATGGCTTCCTTGAGCGTACGGTACCCAGCAAAATGATCCCTGCTGTCTAGACTTGTACTCATGAACAACTGTCCAACAGCTCACCACAATTAAAGGAACACCTACAAAAGTAAGTTGAATAAGAGAAAACCAACACAAGTGTAAGCACACTGATAAATAAGGAAACAAACATGTAGATAAACAGTAAATAGACAAAAAATCAACAAAACTTGGTGAACTTGGGAATTCTTATATTTCAAATAAAAGTTGACTTGCTAAGCAATGGTAGAAACAACCAAGTAGCCAAAGTAGATACACTTTGCACACGCTCAATATTTATTTATTTGTTTATTTATTCGTTATTCACTCGCTTAGGTGCGCTGTACTAGTTCACATCTGACCATCAGTAAAATTAGAGAACACAGAAAGTGACAAAACCCAAAAATTCTTTCAAAAATTGAAATTTTTAAGTATGTAGAGGGAAACCGACGCAGCGAGGCACAAATTACTACACCCCCATATGTGAGGGAAAACCGAGCTAGTGCTCACCCTGTCTCTTCAATCTTGCCCCACATGGAGTAATATGAGTGAAGAAAGGGTATAAACCAAGTGATCCTATCACCGACTAAAGAATGTATAGTTTTGCGCTGACTTCTAACGCATTTAACACTTTTTTGAGATTCCGCTGCATGGCGCATCCCAGTGGATATGCCATGCATTCGATACTCCTCACAGTTATGAGAAATTATCCGGAGATCCCCTCCACCATATCGCCTTGCTCTGTACCCTCCTTGCCCAATTGAAATTCGTCAAGAGTTGTTACCCAATACCAGAAAAGCGGCAACAATTATCGCTCAAATACCTTGAAAAATATCCCATGAAACCCATTCTTTAGACCCCTGTTCAGCGTCGATTCCAACAAGGAATCAAATGCGATCCACGTACTGATTTCACGTCTCATGTCCGACCTTCATACGACATCAGAGCGTTTCAGTGCAGGCAAAAGTACAACCAGGAAGCCCAATTTGTGGAACCCTATATCGAAACATTTTTTGCATTTTCCGGAGTACATACGCGGGGTGTAATAGGGTTAGTTCCTCAGATGCGGTAATCGATTAACTACAATCTATTTTCTACCCAGAAGTGCAGTCTCAGCTCTATTAATTGAACATTATGACTAGGGCGCTTCCATTTACCCTCACTAATTTTCTTCATGGCCCAGATCGAAGCGCGTGGTGTAAGCCAAGCTTTTTGTGTTAAATTTTGAGCGCACTAAATGGTGTAGATAAGAGTTTTTGTGGTAGAAATGTACTGTTTAAAAACCCCTCACAGCAGGATTCTCTAAGCTGTTTTGAAAAATTCAGGGTTGTCTCCGCGTTTTCTGCATGTCCCCTTCAGCACTACTGCATTTCTCTTCGTATATCTTTCAAACGTTTTATGCCCCTCTCCCTTGCCCAGATGGCAGGAACTGCCCAAACGGGTAGTTTTTTAGGGATTTCCAGTTGCTTGTAAAATCGTGACGTTCAATGATTGTCTCCGCCAGTATGCAGTCCTCACTCTCACTATTGTCTGTGCTTATTTTTACTCATTGGATTATAGCATTACTGTAGTTCATTTCTAAACAATAGCCAAATAAATAAACGGACGGAACGTTTCTTTCCATAAAGCTTTCCACCAATGATGGGCATTCCTTGTAAGCGAATTGAATGTTCTATGAAATTCTTAAGCGAGTTCATCATATTACTAAAGTACTACGTATTAAAAAATCCCCTCAAATCCAAGACAAAGAGTATCCATTCTAAACTCCTGGCCCCTCATACATACTACTCAGATAGATATTTTTGGTGTCAATCAGCTCGAATGCAGCATGGCCGTTCGCTCTGGGAAAAGAATAGGCGCAGATTTGCACAAATAACAGGAATGGGTTGGGATACACAAATCGATTCCCATGTTTTATATAAATTAGGCTCTTTTATCGATGTCTCATCACATAAATACATTAACTACGTCGAGGGTTCAAATAGGGGTTGCCTCAGCCTGTTTCTCGTATCAGGAATTCAATTGGAATTACGGTATCAAGGTTTAAGGAAGTAATTTTTCTTCCATATTCTTTGACATGAAATAAAATAATAATATTGAAACGGTGAATGGTGATATCTCAAGGTATGGAAAAAGATGTGAACTAGTTGAATAATTACGCCTAGAGCACTTACAAGTTACATCCTCCGCAATGTTTTTATTTACAGGTAAAAAAAACAGTGAAACATAAATTGCGAATTGATAAATCTAAATTAGTTGTAAAGCAAATTTAAAAAAATCCCAAAATTTTTTTAAAATACTCACCCCAGCCACATAACATGTACAGGAACCATGGTGCATCATTATGACGCATTGCGAATACAGTAAATCGACTATACAAATAGGCCCCTTCAATCAGCATCCACATCACAGATGCCACCTGAACCATCAATAATCGTCCAAAAAATACCGAGAAAAAAAATGGTACAATATTCGATGAGACCGCGGAGACCAATACAATTCAGACAGGACAGCGGAAATTATTTTTATAGAATATAAGCAATGGTAGCTCTTCAGAAATCTCACCTGGAAGTAGATGACGAACCAAAGAATTGTTTTACAGATCCACTCCTGAAATAAAATTTAGTTAATAAAATTTCAAGGAAGTTATTGAAGGTGATCAGAAATAATAAGCCTTCTTGCCCACCCAGCTCCACAGCGGTTGAGGATTGAAAGTGGAGCAATCGTTGAATAGATTCGTAGACTGTACAATAGTCCAAATGGCTAGCACGGCAAAACGAAAGACGAAAGCGGTAGCGAGATTTTTGTGAATCGACAGGCGACGGCACTGAAATAACGTATATTTTTGTCTAAAGTAAGCTTCAGACTTGTCTAGGTGGATAAAAGCCTTGACTCATGCATCGGCTGGCCCCGCACGTCATCGTATAGGCCAGGTCGCATTCAAGATGCTACTACAATTGCAAATGGAAGTACAATGCGTGGCGTATTCCAAAGGCACTTGTCATCGAATGGTTCAGCCTCTATCGATGTTGTAATGAAAAACTTACTTGAATAGAGTCAAATATTGAGAAGAGAAGAATAGCAGCAACAAGTAGAGCAACGGACACAATGGACAGCGTTAAAGAGACGGAAATGACGAGGTCCCTCAGAAGGTCCGGACACTGAAATAGGGAAATTGGCTTCTTCCCTATGCAGCTATTTTTCCTGCTTTTCCTTCAATGGCTTATGAAGATCTGTTCACATATTGCAACTAATACGGACGTGAAGCCAATTAGACATGCGGGAAAATAATTGCGGATTTCAGCTGCTATTTTTTATTTGCGGGTATTCCATCTAATAGCAGAGGCAATCAATCTGAATGCAAGTCATTTTGTCCCTTCTATTAACCGGATCTGGCAACAACAAAAAAGTACAACCGTTCCATATCTCAATATGTGAACCTTCGGCATGGTTTCTAGAGCAGCTGCTTCTGGAAACAAATCCCTCATATGGAAAAAGTGGATTACTTAGTAAAACATGTGTTGGAATAAATAAGGATGATGACGTCAAATATGCCTACGTTCCGTATGTATCCTAATACCACAACACTAGGCATCAAACAGGGCCAAAGTTGTTGTAGCATGTAAAAAAGAAAGCCTTATCAGATGAGTCAGAATAAGTTTTTGCAATGGTGGCGTAAAAAGAAGGTGATACTATAATTTGAGGACTTTTGGAAAAAATTTGGAATTTTACCACTTCTTTTATGGGTGACCCCTCCCCTACCTCCCCTCCTCCATTCGTCGGAGCGTTTTCATAGAAGTGGAGGTAAACGTGAGACGGTATGGGGTTAAAGGAGAGCTAGAGTTGTTCCTCGAAAACTTATCCGTCGTTAGGCGTGATCTTGACTTTGAGGTCGAAGGTGATCACGACGGTTGCAGGGCGTTGCGGTTTCGATGACGTCATCGGAACCGCAAGGGCATCAAGAGGTGGTACCAACGCCCCCTCCCCTCCCTTTTCCAGCGCGCTGCGGGATTTCCTCCACCAATAAGGTTCAGGGACGTCATCAAGATTCTTCCTGCCTCATTCGTTAGGACCACTGCCTTTAAGTTATCCCAAGTACCAGGCACAATAGGTCGAATAGCGTGTGGCACTCATTTAGCATTTGGAGTCTTGCCGCGCCAAGTCTTGCTACAATGGTCATCACACGCCAGAGTTATCTAAGGGTAACGTTCCTCAGCCTTCCTGTTTCGATCGCTGACGCTTTCGTGCTTAGGTGGCTATAGAAAAAAGTCTTACAACCCCTATAATTCGAACAGAGAAGGGAAATTCGTAAAGTGCAAACCCACAAAGCTCATAATAACGACAGTGTTGGAGCTCTGTTCTGTTGTTTGCTGGAAATTCACTAGTGCGAAACGTCTTTTTGCAATGTTTTTTGCCTGTTGAATTTGCTAGAATTACGTGTTAGAAGAAAAACAACTCCTTAATTGTCTTTCTTTTGAGGGCTGTTAGCATTTTTGCCGATATTTCAGCGCTTTTGCCATCTTCACATTTCAGAAACCCAGAAAAATCATTAAAAGGGCATGAAAACAATGAAGTGCAACTCCGAATAATTATGTTGAGAACGAAAACAGCATTGTATTGAAAGTTTACTCTGGGTAAAAATAAGCGCTTATGCCCTCACATCAATTATAAAACCGAGTAACAGCCTGATAGTTACCTTCATTTCTCAACTTAACCAAGATGTACAATTCCCTCTCTAGAAGCTTCTTCGAGGTCTTATACTGAATTCATGTTTGAAATTTTGCTAAATGGAGATAGATTAATGTTTTTCTGAGAACCCCGAGCAAATCGTGTGAAGAAACACCTGAAAAGCTCTTTGAATAGGCGTGCAACCGAAAACTTCGATTCGTCAAATCGATTTATACACTAAAATGACTTCACGCTTGATATTAGTAAAATCCCCATGTCCAAAGAATCGATTTTTGAAAAACTCGTTCCACTTGGATGCATCAGGGAACACGTCTATTTAGCATTCCTGAGCATTGGTCGAAGGACCGCTACCCTCAGAATTTGAGCCCTATAGTGAAGAAGGAAGTAGTTGTGAAAGCATAAGCTCAACTGCGGAGTACATTTTGAAAGGGAACGATCTTTTTTCCAATCCCATCATTTTTTCCACTTCACTAATTTGGACACAAATCATTAATATGTATTGCTTTTTATAAATATTTTATTATATTATATTTCACAAGTTTAGGGGGGGGAGTACTGTACTCCAGTCTAATCCGGAAAAAATCTGAAAGTTCTCAGAAGTTTTATATGATTTGTTTAAAATCCGTGAAAACTCCTTAAAACGTTCGAGTCTTTTCTGCAATTCTCAGTCCCGATACCTCCCCTTGCAACCTCTCCCGATATGTCTGCGACCCTCAGCCCCTTTCCCAATTGCTAAGACCCTTCCATGTACACTGAAGAGGCTACGACTTTGTTTCACTCTCTTGCAGAGCTGTGACAAGGTAGAAGGAATCGAATTCACTTGGTAAAGTTGAAAGTCATTACATCGATCCCCCTTCGTCCGCATGCTAACTGGCAACTCGCATATGAGCAACATCCACGAGTGTCGCGTTTTTTATTGGCCGAAGCGTGGCGTTGAAGGGGGCATGGCAGCATTTTTGCAAATTGCCCAGTGGATGAAGAGAAATTCGCCGAGACGCGAACAAAACAAGTTGAGCCTCACCTAATGAATAGAGGCGAAATGATACTCGAAATTTGACGCTGCGACCAAGCACAGCCCTCTTTTTGGACTTGTCCTTCAAGATATCTTCCTTTTGATCTCAGCTCAAAAACATCTCTTATTTCTCAAAGCTGATGGAAAGTTCCGAGAAGTTGGTGAGGGCTCGTCAAATCTTCTCCCAGATTGGTTCCTTGACGTTACTAGTCACTCTCGAGCTAAACGTTGACCAGGCTGTCGTAAAATGACAAGAATAACGACTCCTGTACATAATTGAAAGCTCCCAATCAAAAATAGAACTAAACAAATTAGTCAATTAAGCAATCAAACAATCAAATTGAACATAATCATGTCAAAAAAGAGCCACTGATTGAAGCTTTGATATGGTAATGAGATCTGGCTCACTATTATTCACATTTTTATACATTTAGTGAGGTTATTTTTAGCACTTTTAAAAGCGCTTTCATACTGTGTGCCTAAGAAAATTTGGTAATTCACCTAAGTGGCTTTTGGCTCGATCTTATCCACGACCCTCTCCGGCGGTCAGGGAAGTCTACACTACAGACTCTACAGCTCACATGACGACAACCTACAAGCAAATCTAATACCCAGTTGTTCATAGTATCAGCTGGCAGTTGATAAATGATAGTTGTAAATAGTTACATTTGATATGATAGGACTGCGACAGCCAACATTTCGTTGGCAAAAAAACTTCTACATTTTGTGGAGGCCCTCGTCATTTATGATGTGATGTCTGCAATGGACACGCGATTGGCTGTAGGATAAAATGGGTGGATCAGGGACGCGAAATTTGGAAGCAAAATAGGAAAAGTGACGATAAATCTTGGTTATTAAATGTTTTCTGAGCAACTTATCATGATTAATGGCTAGTTTTTACGATCAATAAATGTATAAGAAGCACAACTACACCATGTTCCGTTGATGCCTACAGCAAGGCTGAAGCAATGAACTCACCAAACGGCAAAATCCTTGTATACAATGTTGGTAGTCGTCCAGAACCGTTATGCACTGGGTGTAATTGGAGTCATGCCATTCGCCAGTCGCACCACATACTCGGGTAACCATATGACTATCTAAACAGCTTGCAATGAATAGCAGCTCAGTTCCGAGGGCGAAAAAGGCGCCATTCAGGTTTCAGTTCAGTTATTACGGCCACATAGCCTCCCCTTTTTAGAAAAACGAGCAGAGCGTCGGGTGCTGACCATACACCACAAGTGACCAGGGTCAACCGTCACGTTGGACCGATATGTGAGCGACGTTGGACCGATGTTCACCGCTCTCCGCGCCCGCATTCACTCTCGGCCACCCGCGAGCCGTCTGTGTCTCCGTGCGTACGTCCACTCTCGGCTTACTTCTCGTCGCGCGTTGGACTTTGTCCAACGGACGGTTGACCCTGCAAGTGACGACGCCTCCCAAGTCAATCGGTTATAGTGCTCATAGATGAGCCTGATTTTTCGTAAAAAATAGCTGCATATAGTGACAACTGATAGGACACAATTGCAGCAGGTTAATCATTTCATTGGCAGAAAACATTTACACTTTGTGGAATCAGGCGTCAATTGTTCTGTATGGTCTGCACCCGACGCTTCTTTCGTTGTTTGAAAGGGAGGGTATTTTCAACAAGTTTTATATTTGATGAGGGTTACTTTATAATAGTCAAATAGGTTTTCCACAATCCGTGATCTGCTCGCGAAACATTGGCTCTCAACCCCAAAGCTGACTCTCCCCGGTCGTAGGATGCCGCCTACGATGACAAATTTGGAATGCGCGCTACATATATGGCATGCCCTGGCGAAAGCAGTTTACAACGCACAATATGCCAACGCTGTGAACACATTTAGCGCAACTATACTCCAGGGAGCACCACTGGGTCCCCCATCCGATTCATTCTGCAATCTAGGGGTCCGTAAAGCCTCCTCCTCTCGGACCCTCATGTCTCTCCTTTTGCTCTCCCTGCGCCGTTTCCGCAGAATAGAATGTCTTAGGAGAGCATAGCTCCGCCAGTCGGTAGTGAATCAACGACGACATACGCAACCTCGTTTAACATCCCGAGTGACTACTTGAAATAACATAATGCAGTTGCGCAGTTCTTTGATCTTGTTGGAATGCCATTCAGATTTCAGAGATAAGGCAGATTTATAAGGCTTTTTCTTCTTAGGCAGTGTAATTCCCAAAAAAAGGTTGGAAAATTCCCATGGGTAACTTATACTTTACCCCACTTGCCGTCACGCGATTTTGTCATGTATGTACATGATGTAAGGAAGGTCAACTCCCGCTTGGCTTAGTGGAAGAGTGAGGGCGATTCAGAAGGTTGAAAGGGCTGCGTTTCTGCGAAAATGGGTCAAGAATACACGTTCACGGACCTTGTGTGCACCTCTACAACTCCACCCCATCACCTCCCCCACCGCTCCTGCCGACGCCACTTCTACAGGAATTATGTGGGTGGACTGGACTGTGTCACTAAGTACCAAGATACTGTGAGGACACTGGGCGCCATGTATCATTGGTGGATGAGGCCGTGTGGCTGAAATCGGTAACTGGTCACGGTAGCCCTGGACATAGCCCTTGATAGGCCGCATAGATGATATAAGAGTTTGTTCCCAGTCCTAATTAAAAATGCTTGGCGAAAACAGTATTTTTGTGTGGGAGTTAAGGTCCTGAGGATTTAGTGGGAACAGTTTCATTCAAGCATCCCAACCTTTCAAAATGTGACAAAAATTAATAGGAGCACACAATAGGAAATTACCAGGAAGTACTTAGTTAGGATTATAGAGGGAATATCGAGAGGGGATTCCTCTGAGTAATCTTGCACTACCTCGACAGCTCAACCTCAGGACAGATAACCTACACTCCCAATTTCGGATCACAGAACGCTTACTACATACTAACTGAAGGTCAGTAGGTTCACAATAAGTCATATAGCGGACAAATGGAAATGGAAAACGGCTCCAGCTTTACTGCTAGGAATGACGCATCTAGGACCATTAGACTTCAGAGCCTCGTGAAATGTTGGTGCTCTCCCAATAAATTATTGCCATTTGTGGATCCAATAATAGTGGCATCATCTGGGTTTTTAAAGACCATTGCCAAACCCTGGAAGGCAGAAAGGCGACCAACCGTGCTCATATCCGGAAAAATCAGGTGCACTGGATCCGATGTGGTTGTTATTTGCCCAAAAGTAATGTGCATAAGAGCGCGTAGTACGTCTGGTTACGCTATTTCAAGATCATTCATCCCCACCCTTAGTACTGGGAAACAAAAAACGTGGCGCGAGGATTTATGGGAGCACGAAGAGCGATCAGTGAACATAGAAAGTACACTAGGATAAAATGCTAAACCTTGTTAAGTCCCCCAGAAGACGATTTTGTGCTAAGACACGGCGACGTGTCATGTGTCGGCATCAACTTACTCATGACCCCGTCTTCTCGTTCGAGTTGTCGCAGAGTATAACCCTCAGTGACAAATTGAATTTTCTCGAGGGCAACACGATTACATGGCAATTGTTTACGGATGAGTGGATAGATTCGGCAATCCACACGTCTCGTTCTTTTGCCGTCCCATCTCTACGAATTTTGCTCTCCCCCCCCCCCCGACTTGTTGGAGCTTTTGCAAGAGCTTTGAAAAGTGTAGCAGACAATGTTTCGCCATGACATCCGGCCATTTCCGCGTTCGCGCTATTCTGAACGCCCAAGTGTCCCGCCATCAATCCAATTCAACTAACAAGCAGCCAAAGAAAATGAACGAATCGTAAAGAAACACGCGAGAAAATCAATACACTCACTGGCTACTTGTTCACATCCAGGTACTGTAGGGCAATACGTGAACGGGCACAAACGTTCCACTTTTGCACCGTAATCAGCTTTCAACCAACAGAGCGATTTATCGAAACTTACAGAACAACCGCTGAAAATCAAATGTGACTCAATTGGATTTTTTTCCTCGAGAAAAGCTTTTTGAGTTGATAAAGGAAGAATGGCGATAATAAAAGTAACAGTGACACCAACTTGTCATTTATTGATTCATTTCGTTGTGATAATGCATAACACGTGGAAATTTCAGCCCTCACTACAGACATTGTTATCCTGAAAATTTATAATAACTGATTTAATCCAGAATTTTGAAAAAAAATAGTTCTGCGGGGAACCCACGCAAAAATGACTACTGACGACATGATAAAAACAAAGTAATTAATAAACGATAATTGTTTGTAAATAGAAGAATCAATATGAATGCCAAGGAAACAGGTGCACGGACAGAGGATTTATTACACAACATTATTCAATCGGAAAAGTTAACTAAATTTTACTCCCACTCTGGCAACTTGCCAAAACATCGCTTTTCAATTCTACAAATCTTTTTTGCAGGACGAAATTGAAGCTGGCCGATTCAGAAATATTTTAAAGATCCTGCTTTGACACAGGAGAATTTTTATGTGCATTTCGAAGAAAGCCCAAGCCTAATGGCAATCAACTATGTAAATATTTGTGAATTTGCTCTGTAAAAGCCTGACTATCTTTCAGGAATGTTCAAAATGAAACATCATCCTGCGTTAGGCAGCTATACTATTCAGCAGCAGCTGCGCAGGGTACTTTTAGGGATGTAAGATTTTCCTGGTCCGTCAAGTATTGGACCTGTAAAGCCTGTATTTCCTCTAGGCTTCTATAAATTAGAATATTTGACTCGAGGTTCTAAATTGATAACCCTTCGTTGGATGAATTATTGCCCTGGCACACCGTCACTTTTACCCCCCCCCCCGCCTATGATTTTTAGTAAAAAAAAACAGTAATGAAAGCAGTTGTATGACACTAGACCAAAGAACTTAAAACAAAGAAAAATAAAGGGATTAAACAAAAATTTATTAGCCGAGAAAAAGCGGGAAGACTTCACTTCTATTGAGGATCTGTTCCCTTTGATAGAATCTGCTGGCCTCCGAGCTCCAAATGCAAATTACTACCCTTGCGCCGGGCTCGGGAAGCCATAATGATATCAGCGGTTTCCTATGAATTCTCAAAAGAATAACATCATTACAAGATATTCTCAGAGGATTATAAAGGCTTCTCAGTCAAACTGCCAGCTCCATGCCATCTCTGCATTATCATAACACCAAAGTGAAATGAAATCAGAAATGATAACAGAAATCTGCCTAGAAAATATCATAATCGCAGGTATAAGTGAGTTAAGTTAAGACATTAAGAATGTTGCCCCTTTTCCATGAAATAAGTTCAGAATTTTCTCGAAATTGAATACAGTTTAAATGACGACTAATGACGAAAGCTCGAGCTTTTGTTCACAGATTTCATGTGGCACTTTGAATGAACTTCGTGCATGAAATCAACGTACGGATGAATGGAAAGTTCTGTGAAAACAATATCAGGTACAAAATACTTAGCTGTTAAGGTTCTCAATTGAAACATAGAATGGGTGTGATAAAAGAACGAAATTGAAAAGGTTTAGCGTAGTTATATGAAATACCGAAGCAGCAATGGAGTTAATAATTAATAGAGCAAGTAGTTGAGGGAGACTTAATAATAGCTGAATAGGAGACTTACTAAACGTGATCTAATAGGCAGCTATTAATGTCGAGGATGTTATTTGAGCCGGGCATCCAGAGGAAGAGAATTACGAAAATTCAGAAAAAAAATAGTTCCAAGTGCATATCCGAAAAGATGTCTTTATATGTAGAAACTAACAGCCTAGAAAGAAATTTTTGGTATTATAACACCTAAAAAAGCAGTATTCAAATCTTAAATAAAAAATCGTCCCTGAGAAATGCAAAGAATTGGTCCGAAATATGAAGGCTCGCCCCGGGTCTTTTTGGAATGGCCCCAAACTACTATGTTTGTGGAGGCAAGTCGTCGGAAAAGCGGGCGCATTTATCTTCACAGACATGCCTGGATCAAAATAAGCAACCCAGAAGGGTATGAATGCATGATTGTCCTATGGGAACGACCAAACAAGCAACTGTGTAGACCAGGGAGAGTGTGGAACATCGTCTTCGCCCGCAGCACCAGCACAGTTACCTTAATAGTACAGAGAAGGGAGGTGGAGATCAAAGACCACTGCAGAGTCTGAAAAAGTTCTTCAAAAACGTAGGACCTGTCTTGGTCGCCTTTGTGGCTAATTAATTGGTCATTTTTCAGTGATTTTTTTCTGCTCGCTAAGATCTCCACTGTACACAGCAGTTTTTGGGAATGTTATTTATTCAATTGTTCTTACTCAATCAAAGTGCATGCCGCCCCTCTTCAGTGAAAGTCTGAACAATATAGCTACACAACGATCGCATGTGACTGCCGAGTTTTCGATATTTTCCGAGGCTACGAATGAATCCCATGGTAGACCTATCGTGGAAATCCTATCATGGACCGACTTCTCATCGTTATTTTCCCAACTTGATGACTTAAAACATGAAGTCGTTCTCAAAAATGACTTCCGCCAAGGCCTTAGCAAAAAGTTCACTAAGGTCGCAAAATGGCAGTGCAGCTTTCTATATCTTGTTTGTGTGAAAAAGAAAAAATATAATAAAAATAAGAAAAATTGAGTCATAAATTATGTAAATAAAACAACTGATGGAGAAAAAGTATGGTATCTTTCCTTGCTTTTTCACACGAAGCTTACCCTTCTCAAGCTGTATTGTGAGGTAACATATTGTTGGACTATGAAAACTATTTTGACATGAAGTTATCAAGCGGTTGAGGAAGGATACTTTTTTAATTATTACATATGCCTCGAGCACGTGAAATTCAAACAACAAGCATTATTTTTACACCAGATGTCTGGCCAGAGAAATGTGCCATGGGTACAACCTGGGAAAAGAAAAAAGGAAGAGAAGAAAACGAAAAATGACAAAAAACATGAAAACATAAGAAGAGGCCTACATGCCTATAGAAGGAGAAAAGGCGGCAAGATATTTTTGAATTGGACTATGTTCCCGGTTATAGGGTATTTTCATGGTAAAAGAAAGAAATAATTTTGGACGGCGTTTTGCTATTGACAGAGCAGTCGCTAAACTATCAAAGAAAGTGAGGGTCAAAAAAACGTCAATCATAAAATTAGTATCAATTTTGAAAAATTCAAAAATTCCAGTTAAGTCAGTATGACAGCAGCAATGTTCTTCCTCCTCTTCACTCATTCTCATGCTTCGTTTTGGCGCAGATGCCAACGATGTGCGATGGTGGCACCAGCTGATGACTGACTAGCTTGCGGTCCAACTACGCTGAATAACATCGAATGTTAGTGGTGGGTGTGCGTGTGTGGTGATACTAGTGGTGATGGTGGCGAAGGCAATGGTGGTGGTGGCGGCCGCGGTAACGCCACGCCCACAGTCTCGTACTTGAAATACTGAATTCTTGAACTATGTATTGTTCGCTACCCGCTATCATCAAAACGATATATACACGACATAAAGAATCAATAAAATCGATAAACGTGCGTGAAATCCTGCTAACAAGCGACTGAAAAAGAGGTTTGGACATTTTTTTAAACCCTCCTCCCCCACTCCCTTCTCTCCCCTACCTCAATCATCTCCCAAGAACACTTTATCTCATCCCCAATAATGGTGGTATGGGGAAGGGCACTACACCAGTGGGATTCCCACCTTCCCTCCTCCCTTTCACTCACCTCCCAAGAATTTTTACCCTCAAAAATCCTCCTCTAGATGGTAATATGGAGAGTAGGGCAGTAGAACCCCAAATGACGCAAGTTTGTAGAAACCTTTTTTCTAAAACCAGTTCACTAATATCGTTCCCAAAAGGTGCCAAATGAAACCCCATACCTTGTGCTTCTCGATGCATGCCTAAACCCGTTCAAGGAACCCGTTGGTTGGTCTGTGGCACTTATAGGGATGCGATTTGTTGTGTTCAATCTTCAATGGCCAATGAACAAGATTCCGATAGAAGCCAAACATTCGTTTTTATGTATACGACTTATCGACGTATTTGTTGCGTGTTGTTTGTTGCCGCGGCTTCTTTCCTAATTGCATTCAGAAAAATCCCGCTGAAAACCGTTGAAGATGCCACTTTTTGATATTTGAGTGGAAGAAAGGCATTCTATCTGCGACCAACAGCAGCGCTGGTCCTGTACTTGAAGCATATAAGTTCATTTTAGCCATGATTACTAGAAACACATTGAAGTAGAACGAAACATGAGTAGAACCTGGCTGAGGTCTGCCCGAAATTTCATTCTCAGAGCGCAGGTGTGAAAGGTATGGAGCAGGAGGGGCGCTATCGCAACAAACAGAGAATTTTCTTGGACTGAGCCTAGCAAGGGGCAGAATCTGGGGAAATCTGGGTGAACACTTCTCACACACAATGGAGTTCCTCTCCCTTTTCCAAAGTTTACGCCCTTCTGTCACAAAGAAGAGATGTTAAACGCGTCCTGAATGTCTAGCCCCTGCAATACCCCTGTATCTTGCGATAGCGCCGCAGGATAGTAAACAAATTAGGAATTTCTGAAGCATTTAGAAAATCTCACTGCAAAATAGAACTAGTAAGCTTTTTTCTTGCGATGAGCCACGCACGCAGATCTGTTGGTGACATTTGAGTGTGGTCTGGCTGATGCCAAGACTTGAGGAGCCAGCCAACATCGAAATTAGCAATTTTAAATTTTCCAGACGAGTATGTTACCAATGAATCACATTTCCTGGGAGAAATGCGGGGCTTGTAATTCGTCCCGAGATATGACCGCCTGTTCAAGCCGTGAGAAGTAATTTTTGGAACTAAGATATCTGCCCATAAACTACAGGAGTGATGGTCCTATCAGCTGTAATAGTTGAACAAAAATAAACGGAAATCAAATGCTTGAATTGTACTGGGTACTCAACCGTTTTTGATGCCTTCGTATCGACTGGTACTGGAAAAGTGGTCAATGAATGGCTGGAGAAAGAGTAAAAGTAAGAAAGGCGATTCGGTATTTGAGCCAAGCTATGGCTACTTTTGGCCACCCTTTCACATCTTTTTGGTGAAACGGATTACGGTAGTGAATAGTAGCAATCTTCAAGTACAACCAAAAATTTACTTCCAATCGGAGCTCCTCAAGGCTTGAATTTGGGTTCAAAAGACTGAGATGTCCATAGAGGGC